ATATCTCCTCCAGCCATCACTTTGGCTACTACTGTATCGATCCGGCTTGTTAATCTTTAAACTTCTTTTTTTTTTTTTCAAAAACTTTGCTTTAAGTTACAAATTATTTGAATTTATTCAAATTTCAATTCATTTTAATTTGAATTCTTCACAGTCAAATTCAAATTGGAATTCTACATCTGGACTGCTACCTCAGTTCAAGCTCAACTGAAATTCAGGAACTCGGGAACTGCCTTGTTTTGTCACACAACTCATGCTAAGGCATGTTTAACAACGCTGTCTTAAATAAATATATTGATTAATGCCTCATTCAGCAGTCTTCAGGTCAAAGCCTTCGAAACTGAGCCTCTCTTTTTTAGCAAAAGGCTATAAAGTTAGTATGGATGGATCCTCAAGGCATTAAAGAGAAGGAGGGAGATGGCCAGGATCTGGGGTCCTGCAGTGTGCAAGGGAGACTTAAGGTACATCTTTGTCCCCTGATTCCAGTGCCTTTTCAAAGCACCACCTCCAACTCTCCTCTTGCACACAAGAACCTCAGGAGGTTTCTGGACAAAATCAGTAGGTTAATTTCATATTGTACATATTACAACTAAGAAAAGGCTGCGTGAGTTTCACTCTCTCAACAGGTCTCATTAAATCTGCAGAAATTGAAATAATTTCATATCATCATAGTGCTGCTCACTGCGTGCGTAGATATAACTAGATAACATTTCTGTGGATGAGATATATGTTGCAATCACAAATCTCATATGTGACCCTGGACCACAAAACCAGTCTTAAAGTTGCACGGGTATATTTGTAGCAATAGCCAAAAATACATTGTATAGGTCAAAATTATAGATTTTTCTTTTATGCCAAAAATCATTAAGATATTTAGTAAAGATCATGTTCCATGAAGATATTTTGTAAATTTCCTACCGTAAATATATCAAAACTTAATTTTTGATTAGTAATATGCATTAACTAAGTTTTAATTCAACTGTAACATCTCGTATAACTGTAAGAAAACTACCTACAAATTATTTTTTCCTATTTTAAATATCCTTAAAGATGAAAATATCCTTTATCATAGCTTGTTTTGCAAGGGGCAAAACAAGTAGGTCTTCCACGTTCAGGCCTTGGCGTGATTGGAACAGCTGCCAAAAGACTTTATTTATTAACAGGAAACAAATGAAAGGAAGTGATAAAAGCCAATGTTAGCCATTCAGCCAAATAAACAAGGGATAGCCTCCAAAACAAGATGACCGGACAACATTTTACAAAACATTTGAACAAACAAAGTCCGCAGAGAGCCAGGGGTGTGAAAACAACTTGTATTGATTTAGTGGGAAATTTGAGAAGCAGTTGAGTAGAACCTGCAAAGTCTAAAGGCCGATATAAGAGGTTAAAAAACATCTTTTGTTTTGATTTTGGGTTTTCTTAGGAGGCCACAACATACATCGACCATAAATAGGACACATAAATGGCTGCTGAATCTAGAACTGTTGAATGGACTGTAATAGTATTGTGTTTAGCGTTCTGTGTCAGGCTGTAATGCAAAAAAAAGAGGCTTGGATTTCAAAAAAATATTACAGCAGACCAGTGATGATTAATTTTCCCTCATAAGCCAAGCGTGCAACAAGAGCTAACATAGAGTCCAGTGCCAAGCTAATACACCTCTACTGTCAATTTCAATGTTTCTGCCTCTTTTCTTTTAACAAATATGCAGTCAGACTCACACACCCTAGACAAAACATGCTTATGCTATGTGACAAGAACCATGTCAAAAAGTCTCCACAGCACCTTTAAAAGAAATGCTACTTTGATTTTTTCCCCACCTACTCCTCCATTTAAGGGCAAGAGAGAAAATATAATTATTCCCCTTCAATAAAATGAGTCATTTCTTGTGTGGGGAAGTCTGTACAGCTGTTCCTTCATTACTAAATGGAACACAGTGATGATCTAAATTGTAATTAAGGACATGGTGTGGAGCAAATTTCACAGCTAGAATGATCTAACAGAGCCCATATGCTGAAGTGGAGATGAGAAGCCTGTCGGTGTTTGCTTAGCATGTTCAGGCTGTTCATCGTGCTGACAGAGAAGCCTAATCTCACCTTGCGCTGACGGAGGTGAAATAAGACAGCCTTGATGGCGTGACAAACTCGTTCATGATAAAATATCACTAAGGTCGTTGGGTAGGAGGAATGTAGAGCCATTCTGTAAACTGGACTGCTTGTGAATATCTTTAAAAGGTCAGCATAACGGTCCAGCTTTTCTTTAGATAAGCTGTCACCTTCAGTGCCACGCAAGTATCTTAAATCAACAAAATTGTTCAAGGTTTGATAGTAAACAACCTTCCAGGGCCACGGTGCAAAATAAGGCCGCATCCCGAGAGTAGAATTATCTTGTCATCTTGTCACATTGAGCGATATAATTACTCAACTCATACTGTACATATGTAACATTTAATTTGACTTTTCAACTTCAAATACTTTAGATGCCTAACTAAATCTACCATTCCCCTGAATTAAAAATACTAATTTTGGGTGGCATTTCTACAGCACCAGCCATGTGATGAGAACAAAAAAAACAGGGAGAAGAGAGATCAGAAAATGACAGGCTACATTTACAGCGATGGTCTAGTGGTTAGTATACATCAAGCTGTGGGCTTATACAGGTGAATTAAAAGGATAGTTCAACCAAAAATGAAAATTAGCCCATGATTAGCCCATGATTTACTCACCCTGAGGGCATCCTAAGCATATCTGACATTCCTCTTTCAGACAAACACAATCGCAGTTATATTTAAAATTGTCCTGGCTCTTCCAAGCTGTATTAATGGCAGTGAATGGTGCCCCTGTTTTTGAAGCCTATAAAACTGCATCCATCCATCATGAAACTACTCCACACGGCTCCGGGGTGTTAATAAAGGCCTTCTGAAGCTTAATGATGCGTTAGTGTGAGAAAAATATCGTTTTATTTTTTTATTTATAAACTGTAATCTCCAGCTTCTGGTCGCTCAAGCAGGCGCATTCACGAAAAGACGTTCGAGCATAAGACGTAGGCGTAGCAGAAGGCGCAACGTAAGCTCCGGGGAGAGAGTGACGAACGCGGAAGTACAGAGGAGAAAGCAAAAAAAAAAAAAAACTGTCATGAACTAGTACTACAAAACCAGCCATACAATACCAGGAACTCCGCGAGATGGAGGAGACTGCAGCGGTGCCACAAACTACAGATGTAGTTCATGTGATTTCCCTGTGCTGTAAACAAAACTTGGTTCTCGCGAGACTACACTCTTCTCCCCGGAGCTTACGTTGCGCCTTCCGCTAAGCCTATGTCATACGCTCGAACGCCTTGTCGTGAACGCGCCTACTTGAGCAACCGGAAGCTGGAGATTACAGTTTATAATTTTTTTTAAATCGATATTTTTCTCACACTAATGCATCATTTCGCTTAAGAAGGCCTTTATTAACACCCCAGAGCCATGTGGAGTAGTTTTATGATGGATGGATGCAGTTTTTTAGGCTTCAAAAACAGGGGCACCATTTACTGCCATTATACAGCTTGGAAGAGACAGGACCATTTTAAATATAACTGCGATTGTGTTTGTCTGAAAGAGGAATGTCAGATACTTCTAGGACCCTGAGGGTGAGTAAATAATGGGCTCCCTTTAATGTGTCAGAAAGGCCTAAAAAGTACCATGTTATAGGGACAAAAAACATATTAATTAAAGGAATATTCTGGTTTTGTTTGCTTTGTTGACTTTCAGCTCCATGTTGGCAAAAAGGTTATTCTCATAGTGAGCACAGGTTAATAAAACATATACAATTTGCAAAACCACATAAGATAACTGAGATTAAAACAAGATAAAACTTCTAAAATGAGTTTAGGTGATACCCAGGTATTGTCATCAAACACATTTGTATAAAACCGCTGTCTGACTGTATCTAAAGCGATGAATATTACAGGTTAAATGCAAGATAAACTTAAGATACTGACAGCATTTGTGTTATGCTGTTGATCACCACAGAAAATAATTTTGACTAACCATACAGTTAACAGGCAAGTGAATAAGTAAAGGAGTAAACAAATAAGTAAACAATTACAAAATGAAATAAGTGAACTAAAAATAAATAAATCAGTAAATAAACAAACAAAATAAGTAAATAAGTAAATATAAACTTTGTAAGTGGTATAAATAGAGCTTAACTTGTATTTAATCCAAAATTTTTAGGTAGTGAATTTGAAGGTCAGCTGTGAAATCCAAGACAGAAGAACATTCCAAAAATGTCTGGAAAAAAGTACCAAAAATACTTAAATTAGAAAAAGGGGACACTTGGTTGAAACATCAAATTATAAAAACATCGCCAAGAAAAGCCTGTTCCACAAGACTCTCCTCTTGAAAAGCAGACTTAATGTGAAACCACAAAGCAGCGAACAACCACAGAGCTCAGTAGAAGAGAACACCATAAATTGAGCTCCGCATAACTCTGGCACATATCTGAGGGTTGCACAAAAGCAGCCATTACTCTAAAGGAACTATGCAAAGCATGTCCGGAGTTTGCCACAAATGCCCACGTAACACAGCTGTGACGTAAGAAAAGAGTTTGTGGTCAGATGACAAGATGATAGAGCTTTTCCGAAGCTCGTGTAAAGCACAATTCTCCCCACAAACATCACACCACACCTACAGTGAGTCATGCTGTGGGGATCCATCTCAACTAAATATTTAAAGCTTTCATTGCTGAAAGGGATTCAACTATGTTTTAAACATGAAATATGCAACAGATTTCAATTTAGTTTTCTGGTAAATAATAGTTTCTAATATACATCAATTAAAAGTCAAATTGAGTTTCAGTGCTTTGAAATAAAACAAAAACAACTATAATGTAATTCAGTTCAATTAAAAAACTGGCTACGTGTCTGAGTAATTTTGCAACATGTACCAGTGTATCCTGCATACGGCACAACTGCATAAAGTGGTCGTGATTGTTTGGGTGTAGATCTTCACTGCTTCTTACCCTCGACAGGTGAGGTCTTGAGCCTGCGGCAGATCCCTTGCACGTCTCCGTAGCATTCTGCAATCTTGTTGACCGCCTCGCCACTGCGGAGCTCCATCAGCTCACGGAGCTGCATCGTCGTGCAGCCAAAGTCGCCTTCGTGGTCGACCTCGGCGACCGAGTTCCCCGGCGGATGGTCTGCAGTGTTGTTAGCCATTTTGACTCGCTGAGTTTCAGTCACGCCTCAGAACGTGAGACTTCGGATCAATCCACTTGTAAACGTAAGCCTGGGTGATGAAGGAATGCTTCAGGTAGGTGATACAGTGTTCACAAGTTCCAAGAGTCTTTCTGTGCGTTTGCCGGGACGTTGAGCAGTACTGTTTTGAGAGTGAACGAGCATCAGAGGAAGCGTTTCTGAAGGGGATGATCCAGGTCAGACATGTTACCGCAGCAGCAAGGCATTAAAGGGATGTATTGTACTCAAGATGTACCACAGAGAAACTGAAATAGAGCGAGAAACAGACAGGATTTAAATTATTTTGCAAATCAATGGAAAAAATTGCCTAATTTTGAACATTTTGTGACAGAACAGACAGGAAATGTTGACAACATCTAAATGACTAGAACCACTTGTGCTTGTGAATGAAGCATCATGTTGTGATAAAACAGCAGAGAAAAGACAATGTTACGAAATACAGAGCTGCTTCTTTCATTTTTTTCCCCCACACAGCAGTTCTACAACTTCAGGATTTGCCATACATCGATTTATTTGTGGCGGCCCGCCACAATATCAACACTGAATGCCACAAATAGATTTTCCAAAATGCTTTGACTTTGATGAATAAACATGAGCTCTGCACGTTTCAAAATCAAAACAAGGCACGGGTGTTTTTATATGAATGTATCGTTTTTGAAGGGAACCGATTGTCTTCAGAAAAGTTTTGATGTCCTTTTCATTTCATCTTTCCTATAATGCCTGATAAAGTAGCGTTCATGAGTGCAGCGCTGCTTTGATTACAGTCGTTACCGGGTAAACCGCTATTTCTGCCGCTTTTAAAGCGCCTCCTGCTGGCAGAGAATGAATTTGCACTTTCAATAAGCCTGCTGTTTTATATTTACATTATATACATATATATTTCCCCCAGGGAAAGTGCCGCCACACATAGTGCGCAAGTCTGTGGGAAACACTGAACTTCCTCTTGCGCTTGAACAATCACAATATACGGATGCTACCCCAAAAAAGGTACCTAGTTTGCATATCTAATGGGAATCTCCCAGACTCTGTCCATCGGAGTCATACATAGATAATTAACCCCGGAGGAATCCATAGTTTGGGAGCAAATTAAAATGTTTACTGTTTTGCCGCCGGTCTCCAAGCCCACAGAAGGTGGTAGGAGGGAAACACAGAAGTAGAAAGAGAAAAAGAGAGGGCACTGGGTGTAAAATAAGCTAAAAAAAAAACAACAACAAAACAACTCTGCCCGTATCCGAGATAAGGGGTCTGTGTCAATGTGAGATAGGAGAGCTTCCAACTCTATCGGGTTTTCTTATGCACACAGGATATGAAAAATAGAGGTCACTCTTTGATGTGTGCTTGCAGTGATCCAAGATGACATTTTGGACTGGGATTCATCTACCCGCGCTATGGCCAATTTCTCATTATCACACTTGTACAGTCAGTGATAGTAGCCATAAAAGCGAAGCACTGGATACTAGAAAGCCCTGAGGTGGATTTTAACCAAGATTGGATTACTGTCCACTCCTCCTTCAGTTTCAGTAAAGCTTCAGCCTCTGTACACTGCACTGACCTCTTAACTTCTAAAAGAGGAGACTTCAGCCCATAGTAGTTTTATTCTGATCAAAGTGACCTGATTCTGTTTAACTGTTGAGGTCAATGATTCTCACCTCTCTTTACTATTATTCTAACCTGGCACTTAAGGTCTCATAATAGTTTAAAGCACCTAAAGTGAGGTCTGATTTTAAAAACATATCCATTGTTCTATGTGTATGTGTGTGTTTTCGCAAACCACATTAGTCAGGTCAGAATACAGTTTACTGAATTTAGTTCTAACATTAGTACTAATGTAATGGATGTCTGTAAATGTCGAAATGTGTAAATGCCACAAGAACAAGCACTACAGTGTTTCCAAACAAATGTCATCCATTGCCCAAGGCATTAAGAGAGAGGCCATTACCGAGCCTTCAGAGTAGCAGAGCACATAAAATGTTTGAGTGCTTCTGTGGAGAAGAAAAAAAAAACTAAATCTATAAAGCAAAGTCACATGCCATGCTGAAGAGGACCCACCCAAAATAATCTCTGATAACAGGAATGGACAAGTGTTTTTAAAATACTTATGTAGCTGCTTGGGTTTTCTTCCACCCCATAATAACCAATATTCCATGCATTTTCCATGCATGCAAGTCCATGCATTTATTTGATCAAAAATACAGTAAAACAGCAACATTGTGAAATATTTGTACAATTTAAAACTACTTTTCTATTTTACTTTTATTACTGGGACATCAAAGCAGTATTTTCAGCATCATTACTCCAGTCTGCACTGTCACATGATCTTTTAGAAATCATTCGACTATGCTGATCTGATACTTAAGAAACATTCCTTATTATCAATGTTGAAAACAGCTGTGCTGCTTAAAATTTTAGTCAAAACTGTGATTTATTTTTTTCATGATTCTTCAAAAAAAGAAACCTTAAAAGAACAGCTTTTATTTGAAATGCAAATCTTTTAAAGATTATAAATGTCATTACTGCAATGTTTGATCAATTCAATGCATCCTTGCTAAACAAAAGTA